TCTTAATTTTCCTTAAGGTAAAACACTGGTATGAAAACATGGTGTATTTTTGTTATTTTGACCAACTTGTTTTATGCAAAACTGATCTAACAACATTTTAAATGTAAAAGAAATGTCATTAGTAGTTTACAGAATTGAAAAATAGATATATATTACTCAAACACAAAACTAAATCTAGGGAAACTGAGAACGGATTTACATCTTCTTTTTGAAGATATTGTTATTTTCACTTCTGCTAACTGCATTTCACAGGCTCTGTATTTGTACACTGCTCAATAAAATTGAATTTAATAGCCATATATTATAACAGTATAGTGATGAGCCAACCCATTATTACCTATCAAATATTCTTGACGATCTTATAACAAGGCCATATATTGTCTCCAAGATCAGAAGGCAAGTAAACAGTCAGATCTAGTAATCAGTGTGTTGGATTAGAAATGGGCCAGAATAAAGATCTGGACTTGTCTTTGACAAGGCCCAATTTGTTATTTCAAGGTGAATGGGTCAGAATATAATTGTAAAAGTTAAAGTCTGCATGAAATCAAAAGTTGCAATGTTTATTTTGCATGCACACATTGTTAGTTTTAAAGTGAACAAAAAAATCCATGCAAAATCCATAAAAATCTTTGTTTTGGTAATCTTTATTCAAATCACCATTTGCTATCACTTTGGAACGGCAGTCCTTCTCTGATGATGTCAGTTTGATGACTTGGGCAAAATACGCCTAGGAGGAGTGAGAAATTAAAACCCCTGCCTCCTACTCAATATTCCATTTCAGCTGGAAATACATCATCATACTGAGATAAAGGTCTTCTGGTCCAACCCAACAGAAGGTTTACAGTGGTGCAAGTCACACAAAAGTGTAATGATTGTTTTAGGAGGAAAATGTCATAATGCACAGTGAAACAGCATGCATGGGGCTGCCGAGCCAATAAGAGCTTAACTGTTTATGTAGACCCATGTCCACCATGAAGGCTCTATACTGCAATTGCGTAAGCATCAAAACTGAAAAATTTACAAAGAGTGAGAGTTGTCTTGGGCCAGACAGTGTCTTCAGACATCTTTTGCTATATCTGCGCAGGATTTTGTACAAAGACGATTTTTGCAGAATGGTTATGAGTAGAAACTAAATTAAAATTTAAAAACATGACATTTTAACTATAGTATTCAAGGTTTACAATGCAAATCCAATTAGAACCACATGTTTGGTAAACAAAGTAAGTGTCATATATTTAGAAAGTTACAAACCATATTGTACTTAAACCATAAAACACTTGCATATTATTCAATAACATTATGGAAATTAATATAAAAATGCACTGTAAAAATGTTTGGGCTCCACACAATCGATTTAAGTTGGGAGAACATGAAGGAATTAAGTTTAAGCTTAAGTATTTTAAGTAAGTTTGAACACACAGCAAACATATTTTTTGAGTGTGAAAAAATATATATTTACATACATTTTCGTATGTAAATAAATTGAATGTAGATAAACCTTGGCTCAGCTCTTTCATGTGAACATAACAGCACTGAAAAAAACAATTTATTTGATTTACTTAAATTTTTTTAAAGTAAGTGGTTGCAAATTTCGGTCAGTTGGCGTTTTTGTGTGGAGTTTGAATGTTCTCCCTGCGTTCGCATGGGTTTCCTCCGGGTGCTCCAGTTTCCCCCACAAGTCAAAAGACATGCAATACAGGTGAACTGGGTAAGCTAAATTGTCCGTATAGTGTGTGTGTGTGTGTGAAAGAGTGTGTATGGGTTTCCCAGTGATAGGTTGCGGCTGGAAGGGCATCCGCTGCGTAAAAACATGTTGGATAAGTTGGTGGTTCATTCCGCTGTGACGACCCCAGATTAATAAAGGGACTGAGTCGAGAAGAAAATGAATGAATGAATGAATGGTTGCAAACTATTTATACGTGCTGAATTGAAACAAACAAATGAAATTTAGTAATGTTCGACTTTATTTGTTTGTTTAAATTCAGCCCTTATAAATTGTTAGCAACAACAAACCTTAAAAAATGTACTAAATCCAATGAATCATTTTATTTTTAGTGTGTGACATGTGCTGTACATAAATATTGTTGTAAACCAGGTGCACCCCTTTTATCTGGTGGAAGGAGTGCTTTCAACAAGATGATCCCTGCAACATTACACACGATATTCAGGGTTGCTTTGAAGACCATGATGAAAAGGTGTTGCCCTGACCTCCAGATTCCCAACTGAGCATCTGTGGGATGTGCTGAACCAACAAGTTTGATCCATGGCAGCTTCATCACGCAAGCTACAGGATCTGCTGCCAGTGGTGCCAGAAAACAGGGCACCTTCACAGTTCTCGTAGAGTCCATGCCTCACTAGGTCTGCGCTGTTTTGGCAGCATGCAAAAGACCAACAGCTTATTAGACAGGTGGTCATAATGTGTGCCTCATCTGTGTATAAACTGTCATTAAAGGGTTCACTTCAGCAACAAAAAAAAAATCCTGATAATTTACTCCTCCTTTGTCATACAAGATTTTTTTAGCTTTCTTTGGTAAAAAAGAAATTAAAGTTTTCTCATCATTTAATGTTTCAAACCTTTGTGTTTCTTCTGTTGAACACATATAAGAGATTTTGAAGAAAGATAAACACCTGTAACCTGTATTTCTTCAAAATATCTTCTTTTGTGTTCAACAGAAGAAAGAAACTCATAAAGGTTTAGAACCACTTGAGGGAAAGTAAATAGTGGAAAAAAAAATAGTTTTTGGGTGAACTATCCCTTTAAGGATTTTGACAGAAACATGCAGGACTTCTGGTGCTCAGTGGTTTGATGGTTGAGTTGTTTGGTTCAATGCAGCTTTAAGAGTCTCTAAATATCCTAGCCAAGAAATTAGGGTCTTGCATAACAAAAAGATCATTCTTTTTTTTTTTTAAATAAATAACGTATGTAGTTTTTAACCACAAAAAGTTTGTTTTGGAAAGCAAAATCATATATTTTAATTTTTTTTAAAGAAAATGACTGATTATTTTGTTAAGTAAGACTCTTACTCGTTGGCTAGGTTATTTTGGCTTGAATAAAAACAGTTTTAATTTTTTAAACACCATTGTAAGGACAAAATTATTAGCCCCTTTAAGCTAATTTTTTTTTCGATAGTCTACAGAACAATTTATCGTTATACAATAACTTGCCTAATTACCTTAACCTGCCTAGTTAACCTAATTAACCAAGTTAAGCCTTTAAATGTCACTGTAAGCTGTATAAAAGTGTCTTAAAAAATATCTAGTCAAATATTATTTACTGTCATCATGGCAAAGATAAAATAAATAAGTTATTAAAAATGAGTTATTACAACTATTATGATTAGAAATGTGTTGAAAAAAAAATCTTCTCTCCGTTAAACAGAAATTGGGTGGAAAAATAAACAGGGGGGCTACTAATTCTGACTTCAACTGTGCATACATAATATTACATATAGTTTTTATTGTCCTTAACTTAAAGCAGTGTTTCTCAACCACGATCCTGGAGGACCACTAACACTGCATGTTTTGATGTCTCCTTTGTCTGTCACACCCACAACAGGTCTTTAAGTCTCTGCAAATGAGCTGATTATCAGAATCGGGTGTGTTTAGTTAAGGACCCATGAAAAATGTGCAGAGCTGGCCCTCCAGGAACGTGAGAAACACTGACTTAAAGAGATAGTTAAGACAAAAATTATAATTTACTCAATGTTTACTTACCCTCAAGTGTTTCTAAATGTTTGCGTTCTTTCTTATGTTAAACACAAAAGAAGCTATTTTGAAGAATGCTGAAAATTTGTAACTATTGATTTCGATAGTGAGAAAAACAAATACTTACTATGTAAGTCAATGGTTACAGGTTTCCAACATTTCTCAAAATATCTCATTATGTGTTTAACAGAATAATAGAAACTCATGAAGGTTTGAAACAAGTAAATGGGTCAACTATCTCTTTAAGTGAAGAAGTCAAAACCGCTGTGATTCCAGCATATTGCTTTTGATGAAAAAAGACTAATAATAATAGACATTAAGTTTAAATTACTGAATAGTAAATCCATTACTCACATTAAAATTAACACTATCAACATGCCACTTTGGTTTTTCTGTCTTCATTATGCATTGAGGACAATTTGCAGTGCAACCGGAAAGTATTCATAGTGCTTCACTTTTCCCCCATTTTTTATGTTACAGCCTTATTTCAAAATGGATTAAATTAATTTATTTCCTCAAAATTCTACAAACAATACCCTTTAATGACAAAGTGAAAAAAGATTTTAAGATCTCTCCAGAGATGTTCAATAGGATTTAGGTCTGGGTTCTGGCTGGGCCACTCAAGGACATTCACGAGTTGTTGTGAAGCCACTCCATTAATATTTTGGTGGTGTGCTTTGGGTCATTGTCCTACTGGAAGATGAATCGTCGCCCCAGTCTGAGGTCAAGAGCACTCTTAAGCAGGTTTTCATTCAAATTGTGGAGAAAGTGAAGCACTATGAATACTTTCCGGATGCACTGTATGCCAAGGGTTTAATTCTATATCTTGTGAATTATCTTCATTTTCAAAAATGCAATCATTTGAAGATATTATTTAAGAACATTTATAAAATGGGTGAAGGTAAGATCTATAAGGTTTCAATTCAATTCATCTTTATTTCTATAGGGCTTTTACAAATGTAGATTGTGTCAACATAACATAGAAGTTCTAGTAAATTGCAATTGAAACTGCATGTGTCGGTCCAGTTTTCAAAGTTAAGTTTAGTTTAGTTCAGTGTGGTTTAATTTTTACTGCTGAAAGTCCAAACAATGAAGAGTAAATCAATCGGTGTGTAGCTGCTCTATATGGGTAAAAACAAAGAATTCCAGTCATCTTGCCTCAACGTCGTCTTATGCCATCTGATAAAGTAAACATGTTTGTTTGTTTGTGTCACGTTATCATAATCAAATAAAACGTGGATGATTAAGATACTTTAAGACCCTTAACACCTTGAAATGTTCTTGTCCACACTGAACAATTGCCAACATATTGGATTTATTGAGGAAGAAAAAATCAATTCAGTGCCATCTGTATCTAATTGTGCTAAAGTACACTGTTGCTAAATGTCTTGCACAGCTGAATTCTATTAGCCTCCATTTCACTCAATGGCCTCTTCTATCCTGATCCCATCCACCAGTAAGGAATGAACTATTCCGTTTCTCTTTCGTCCACTAGTTGTTGCCTTAATGTAGCATTCATGGTCCCCCAGTGCAAAGTGTGTCTCTGATCCGTTCTCTGTAAACTCTCCCTGCACACATCAATAAAATCAATAAACACAGGCCTGTAACACAAGAACAAGTCATGGTAATGCTTATGAAAAATATATATCACTTGACTCAGACTTGTATAGTTCCCTAAAATAAAAACCTCATTCCCATTTACTCACACTAAAGTGGTCCTAGCTTTTATGAATTTCATTCTTCTGTTAAACACTAAATAAGATATATCGAAGAGTGTTGGGAAAAACATTGAGATCCACAGAAGAAACAAAAAATATTATGGAAGTTCAATACTATGGAAGTTTCCATACAAAGATGTGAATTAGACCCATGCGCAAAACTGGAATCTTTAACATTTAAATTAAACAGTTTCCATCCAATAAGTAAAAAAAAAAGAAAAACATTACTTCCTGATAGACTGGCAACAAATATTGAAAAGAAAAGTGAAATTTGCAGTAGGAGAAGCCACTTTGTACGGTGGCCGAGGGAGCTTAATGTGCTGCAATTTAAGAAAACACGTGCAATTGCAAAAACACCAGCAAATTAAGATAAGATCTTCATCAGTTTGACAGCACACATGCTGCAAATTCTCACGACGCAAACTAATTTTTAAAAAACACGCTGCATTTTCTTACAACACAACAGAAATGTTTCAAGGAAACACTAAAACGTGACGGACTGGCAATTACGTTTTTTTGTAATTGTATGTGTTTTCTTAAATTGCAGCACGTTAAGCTTTCTCGCCACCGTAACTTTGGGCCTTTTTACCTTATGCAATAAATTACTAATATTACAATCAAATCCAGAATACAACAAATTATTGTGAATGTCACAGTTACATCCTGTGACATGATACTAATGTAATTTACAGTGAAAAATTACAGTAAGATTTTGTGAAATTCTGGGATATTTTTACAGTGTGGCTTTTGGCAACTGTATCTGCCTGCGGACATCAAGGCCCCTATCATACACTTAGTGCAATGTGGCACAAGGCGCGACACAATTGTTGTTTGCTAGTTACAGCTTGGCACAAGAGTCGTTTTGACATTTTGCGCCATGCTGTTTAAATAGCAAAAGCATTTGTGCTCATATGTGCGCCCATAGGTGTTCTGGTCTAAAAAGGGAGATGTGTTGAGCCACATTTCGGCGTTGCTATTTTAAGAAACTATAATAAATGAGAATCTGATTGGTTCTTTCTGTAACCACACCTATAACTCATTAAGAAAATAAGCTCAACCCTTTTAGATCATGCGTCACGGCGCAAAGCGGATTTTTCCATCCTTAGCAAAAGTGGATTCTGGCACACCCTTAATGCGTTTGCACCCTGCGCTTTGCGCATGGATCGTCAAAATAGAGCCTCAAGACTTGGGCGTAACATACATGAATGTGGCGTAACTTGTAGTAAGTTAGAAAAGCATAACTTACAGTTACTAAAAGTCTACCAGAGGAGGTCAAGCCTTCTCATTTATGGCTCCTAAACTCTGGAATAGCCTTCCTGATAATGTCCGAGGCTCAGGCACACACAATGGATCACATAACAGTATGATGCACAATTGTGCTCCACGCAAGTGAGCGGGCTTGACAACCACCTGTAGGACACTCTCCTGCGGTCTTAATAATTCAGACGTTTTGTTAAAAATACTCATATGCTTTACATCTTTGTTTCTTTGTTTATTTGTATAACTACTATTTTTATTTATAGCACTTCATTTTTGCATCTCGTTTAAATACACTATGTACAGCAGCTACGCTAATTATTTTCTTTATTCTCTATTTCCACTTGGGGATACTACATGAACAGATACATCATTTATAACTACTATATACACATAAAAATAAGAGTTATGAGTAACATATAAGAGTATTATATTTACATTAAGAAATTGACATATAAGAGTAAATATAGAGTTCATAGCGATGCAAACATTAAGCAATATTCAAAAAATGTGCATAAAAATACAAGTGGTGCTCGCTGCAGAGCCATTTGGGCGAGCTGAGCTCCAGCGAGGAGGAGCTTGAGCTTGAGCTCCACCTTTTTTGCACTTCTTCTACGAGTAATGTCACTGGGGGTAGGGTTAGGGGTGGGGTTGGTGTACGCATTAAAACAGCTTACAGGAGGCAGAACGAGAGCTCATGCTCCCCCTCGCTGGAGCTCAGCTCTGCTCAAATGGCTCTGCAGCGAGCACCCTCTCTAAAAATAGGTGGATAGATACATAGCTTTTGGCTGTTTTTTTCCCACCATTCTTCAGTATATCTTTTTTGCTTTGTGTTCAGTGGAAGAAAGCCAAAGAGGTTTGGAACAAATGGAGGATGAGACTGAGAGTAAATGATGACAGAATTTTAATTTTAGGGTAAACTATCGACCCAGCCGAATCTAATTCTAGCTCATTCATACAAAAACATGGAGGCCTGCAATCAAACCAGGATGAGCATGCATGTGCTTAAAAATGTACAAATGCAATCATAAAAATCAATACAAATTTGCCACTAAATCAAAAAGTTACGAATTGCTGTGAGATTTTGTTGGATTCTTCCATCAAACTAAAGGCCAGTGTTAGTTTGAAAAAATATCTGTTAATTAACAGTTTTCGTATTTGTTTTCCATTTATTTACGGTTGTGAATTGCATTATGGGACCTTGATGGCCACCGTGCCACCCATCTAGGAAAGGAGTAAGAGTAGGGGTGGAAGCGGGGATTCTTCAAAACGAAGATGTTATATGGAACTTAGGGTGGCTTAGGAATCTGATTGGTGAATCATAAATTGAATAATGCAGAACCGGCTGCAAGCAGTCATAAGCATGTGATCCTCTCGAAATTAGTTTATAAATGAACTTTACTTAGTAGTTTGAAATAATAATATAATGTATAAGAAGTGATATAGAAAGAAATAAACACAGACAATATATCACTTTAAACTATTACAAATAGAAATAAAAGTCACTTTTTGTAACTTTTCAGGGTTAAAAGTTGTTGGAAGAAAGATTAAGGTCTCATAATGCAATTCAAAAGCATAAATTAACAGGGGGGATTAAAAAAATAAAAATATGATTCACAAAAAATGGAAAAATGCTAATTTAAGGATGTTCTTTTTACCTGTACGTTATTATAAGCACTCACCATAGTCTCCAGTTTCTGTCCATTGCACCAAACATCCATAGTGTCTTTCTCTAAAGTGAAACAGAAGGAAACTGTGATTTGCAAAAGGGTTGTCATAAGTGTCAAAGCTGTCTGATCTCTGTATGAAAGCAGGCTAAATGTTAGAAGAGAACAATGTAATTTAACTCTTTAATGCCTCAAACCTCCATATATGCTGATCTCTGTATAACAAACCCACCACATGAAATAATACTATTGTCATTTATACCTGAATTGATCTGTTGTGGACATTCTATATTTTCTGTGATAAAACAACAACTATAGGAATATAAACAAATTACCTAAAACTGTAGTTTTTACAACTATAGGGTATATTGATAGACGATACACCTCTAGAGAAGTAAAAAAAAAAACTATAATACAGTATGTTTATCAGTTTACTAGTTTACAGTTCACTAGTTACTGCTACAGCATGCTGTAGCATTCATGAACAAAGTACTGGTAATATTACAATATATACATTACACTGTAAACTACACAGTATTTAACTGTAATATGATCTGTATTTTACTGTAGGAGAGCTATGCCGTATGTTACTGTTTTTTAAAGTTGCATTGTGAAAATTACTGTATATTTTACAGTAAATATATACATTTAATACTTTAAATACATATACAGTGAGATAAAGAGTGCTGTAAATGTAAATACATATTTTTTGCTGTAATTGATTTACAGTAAGTTACTGGTGAAGTGCTGCCAGTAAGTTACAGTAGATTCTACAGGAAAGTATTAACAGTGTATAATACACTTTACCATATTCAAAAGCACTATAGTATTTATTATAAACTACTATAGTATTTTCTTTTGTGGGCCCTTTCAAACACTCAGAAATAGAAGTACAAAAGCTGTCACTGGAGCGGTACCTTTTTAAAGGGTAGACTTTTGTATTTTACAGCTGCACATTAGTATCTTTGTAATACATCTTTGTACCTTATGAGCTACAGATTTGTACTTTTTTAGTATTAATTTGTACCTTTGCATTAATATGGACCTGTTAGGAACAAAAATGTTACCGCTCCAGTGACAGTTTTTGTACCTTTATTTCTGAGAGTGTATTAACTCCAAATGTGTGGAATAGTCTATTATATTACGTGAAATTAAAGTCTCTTTGTTTTATTCTGGCTCTCTTATTTAAAAACCTTTAATCTAGTCATTCTGTGCTAACAATCTGGCAACCTGACAATAACAAAAGCCTTCAATTACATGAAAGAACAATATTTTTGCTTTATAAATCGAGAGGTGTGTTTTCCACAGAGCTTACCTAGAACTATCCTGTAATCGGCACCATCCAGCTTCATAACCCATGTTTTGGAAATTTTTGATCGGTTGTCCAGAAATGTTTGCAGACTTTTTCCGTTGATCTCCAGCGTGTACTCATAGGAAAACCCAGTGATGGCCTCAATAGTTATGGTTGCTTTTGCATCTGTACAGCCAACAGGGAATGTTTCTTTGCCCACCAATTTGAACATCCAGTCTCTCCTCAACACCTCCTTTAAAATAAGACTTTATAAGGCTTCATGCAGTTATTTGATATTTTAAAATTCATTTCAATATATTGAACTATCTTAATATAATATTTGAAATATTTGTTCAAATAAAAGGTCACACAAACAAGAAGGTTTCATTAATTAATGTATTTACTAAAATTAACTAATTATATCAATACTTGCACAGCATTTACTAATGTTAGCCAATCAATTATTAACATCCAACTTGAGGCTTGTTAACATTACTTAATACATTGCGAGCAACATAACCTAATAATGTACAGCTTTATATTCATTAACTAATGTTAACTAACAAGACCAAATACTGTAATAAATGTATTCTTCATTGTTTGTTTAAATTACTAAATGCATAACATTAACACATACAATCTTATTTTAAAAGTGTTACCAAATAAAAACATTATTAATTTATTAAAAAATGTTCATTCAATGATGAGACGAAACATCAAATTTTTGTGGAAATTAAATAAAATTTACAAAAGTGATTTTATAAACAGAAATAACTTTTGTAGGGAAACTACAAAAACAAAATGTGCATCAACAATTGTTACAAAATAATTCAGAGTATAATTCATATTCTGACCTTAATAATATATTTATTAAAATAGCCGATGTTATGTTAAAGTTAATAAATACATTAAAATAGCAATTACTGTTGCATAGAATCATGAACAGAGTACTTTATTGTCAAAAGATTGCTGTTCTAATCTAAATATGCCTGTCAAGATTTCTTTGGTGTATAAACTGCCTTCTGTAGCCTAAATCATGGTAAAAATGCATGATAGTTTAATATTGTTTGCTCATTTAAAAAATAAATAAATAAAAAGGGCACAACCTAACGTGCTTGTTTGTGGATGTATGCAATGCAGAACAGATTTGATAACATCAATTATATGATTTATGATAATATTAATGTATAAAATGCTAAATTAATCAATTTACAACTGGAAAATACTCACTCTCACCTTTCCATTAATATAAATGACACGTTTTCCTGTCGTTGATCCGTGTTCAAACTCAATTCGGTAAAGCCCATCGCTCAGGGACACATCCCACGCTCCCACAATGTCTCCGGACATGCTCAGATGTTTTCAGATCCAAACTGCACAGGTCTACAGTATTTTTATTTCCATATAATGTTTTAGCCTGAGCCTGGTCATAATAATCTTCATCATGTGTAACTGCCGATTAAATCTCTGTATATTCTTGAGGAGTTTGCCATCCCATGCTCGCTCAGCAACAAGTGGCATTAGTGTAAGAGGCTTACCTTAAGCAGAGAGTGTTTGAGGATGCTTGCAGGCGAATACGCTGCAAGAATATTTAAAAATAGGAACAAAAAACATCTAATATGAAATGAAATATAATAAATTAAATTCTGGGTTCTGCCAATAGATGGCAGTCCTCTCTATTTCTCTCTCCCTCTTACATAAAAAGCCTGATTTAGCATATAATCGTCAAAATGAATGAATAAAAAAATAATAATTATTTTAAATGAAATAATTAAAACAAGCAAAGAAAACTACAAAAATAGGTAACTGTTTTAAAAAGTTTGTTATTTAATGTATATTGTTCATTATCCACACAGATATAATATATATGATTATGTAATTCTCTTTTCAACCCTATTTTATGTGTTATTATATAACATGATGTTATGCAAATTTAGTATAGAACTTATTAACCAGGCGCGTTATTAGCATATCAAAAGGGAGTGGGCGTGGTCATTCTGGCTGTGAGCCCCGCTTGTTCAGAACTTTCCTCCAGATCTCAGTGCGTGGAGCTCAGAGAGCACTGAGAATTTTTAGAGACGCTGAGGGTCTTTGGAAGTCGTTGTTTGAAGGATTCTGCAAACTGACTAAGTGCTGTGGAGTTTCCCCTGTCTTCCTCGGGACGTTACTGAATATGTTAATGAGGGAATGCCTACGGAGTAATTTATTTCTGTCAATCACTTGACAAGCTCATTCGCTTTGGATTATGACACAGTTTTTTTTCTCCACGAAGACAAGTCGGAATTACTTTGAGTGATTTTCCTTACACACCTTTTCCTCTGTATTATGTTTCTTTTTAACTATTAGTAATGTAACAGGGTTTAACTGTTAGTTTGAAGCTAGTTTGTGTCTCGTTTCTGTTGGCTCAAATTACCCTCAGGCTCTTTTCAGACATAGGCTATTCGCCTATCCAATGTCAGAAGCAGTTAATATATATATGTTCTAGTTATAGTAGTGTTGTTGCAATGAAAAATCTACAGGTACAATTTTTTTTGATGACACTAACGTGGATTCAAGCATCAGACTTGGATTACCCAAAAACAGATAGAGGAAATGCACAATTACAACCAAACACTTTTGTCAACAAATACACAAAGGATGTGCAAACTAATAGAAGACTTTCAGGGTTATCCACCTCTGGTAATACACATATTCTCAGGAAACCTCAGAACGATCAGGAGAACTCACGACCTCCAGCCAGGAGGGTCCTGAAAGGGCAAAGACCAGCCCTATTCAGGAAACCCAGTGTAAATGATAGCATTCCTGCTCAAGAAACAAGTTTAGGAGCCGCAAGCTCCATTAACATCCTGGCTGGTTTTGCAGGTAAAAACCGTGTGCTGATCATTTCTGCACCCAATGAATCTGATGGCTATTACAGGTTAATGATGAACTTGCTCAAGCCAGATGTGTACTGTGAGATGGCGGACAGACATATGCAGCAGATTATAATGTTTCATGAAAAGGGCAAGATGGGAGGCAAGGTGAGACGGGTTAGCAATCAGGGATCCCTGGTGGAGGAGCCACTGGATCCAGCTTTGGTGCCCAGACTGATGGGTTTCCTGAAGTTGGAGGATGGTAAGTTTGGCATGGTGCTTTTAAGAAAGACCCTTCAAATAGAAGAAAGATACCCATACCCTGTTCAACTGGAGGCGATTTATGAAACGATAGACCAGACGCCTATGCGTAGACTGGAGAAGGCCAGGCATAAAGGTTTTGTGCAAAAGTGCAAGACCGCTGGAATTGAGGGCCAAGTGGTGCAGTCTGCTGGCTCAAACACAGTTGGTTTGCAACCGCAGGTGAATACAGCAGTACATACAAGGCGGCAGAGGGTTAGACCAGTCCCTCAGCCTACCCAGATGACTCAGGCACAAATATCATCAGCATTAACTACAACCAAAACAACGACTACCTTGAAAACTACAACAACCAAACCTCCAACGACAACCACACAACCTGCTACAACTATAACAATTACAACAACCACAGCACCTACTACCACCATTTTACCCTCAACAACTACAACTGTTACCACAGTTGTACCCACCACAATGGAGCAAACACATCCAGACACAACTCGGACTACAACACCTAATGAAAAGACTCAAAATAGTCACCCAGTTACTTCTAACTTACGCAAACAACCTCAAGAAAAGTACCTTGTCCCCACTCAAAAGATGCCGATTGCAGTCTTACCAACACACAGGTCTGCACAGAAGCCCAAAAACAAACTGCCTGCAGTAAAACACGGATGGAGAGAAAAGCTTAGTCAGCACACAAGAGAACGGGACGCGCTGAGGCCCACTGCTGAAAAACCAGAGACAGAACTTATGACCAGCCCAAAGGGGAGAGCTAAACCTGACAGTGCTGACAGGGGGAAGAAGACGGATAGGCCTGAAAAGCCTTTAAAGAAGATACCTGCTGGGAAAAAAGACCCTAAAGTGACTAAAGAGACAAATATCAGCATTCAGAATAAAAACACAGCACAAAAACCAAACGCCTTTGAAGAAGGAGCTGTTGTGGACCAAACAACGAATCCCAAGAAATCATTAGAAACGTTTTTGAGTTACTTTCAGAGAAGACGACGCCTCATAGTATGTATTGTATCAGTGAGACACATGGACACAATTACTCTACAGAGAAACATGAAATAGGGCTCGCCAATAAAAGAGAGGCCAATGTCCTAGGGCCAGTTTAAGAGAAATCCTAGCCAGATGGATCAGTGCTATGTCTTATTATTTATTTATTTTTTTCCCACATAAGAATTTGTGACGAAATTCCGAGGATCAGATTTTCCAGCTACAGAACACTATTTAGAATTTGTAGCTTCATTTTTATAGTTGTAGAAATGTTAATAGGAAATTTTAAGATCATTCATATTTACATACGTATAATTTAAAATATTTTAATTTAAAAAAGAAAGAGCAAATGATGAATGTTAAAAATATATATTTAAAATCATGATTTCTCAACAATAAATCTATTGAGCCCTTATGGTTGAGCCCTATCAACACCTTTTCACTCATTACACATACATTTCTCTTAAAAATAATGGATCTTCATTGTAATCTGCAGTTCTATGACGAACTACAGTGATCAGCATAATTAAGTACACCCCATTTTGGAAATTAATATTTTTCTCCATTTCTCAGTGACTATAGCATGGCAATGTATTTTTGTGCATTTAAACAAAACAGATTTATTAAACGATATATTTATTAAAATAATATTTTTAGTCATCAAACATATATAGAAATTGTAAGATAATTCAATTAAATTCTAGCAAAATACTGCAAAAAAATTACAACCTACGAAAATTTTAACAATTTTTTTTTTTTTTTTGCTTCTTTTGATTTTTCCTCTTTTTTTAAAATTTGTATTTAATATTTTCCTATAACATATAAGTTTTGGTGTACTAGTTTTTGGACCGTTATTGTCAGTTATTTTGTTAGATAAGCTCCAGATTTGACTGACTAATCTAATGTATATGCACATATAATATTGCATAGCTTCCTATTAAATATATGAATTTAAAATATAGTTTTGTGAGGGGTGTACTTATATATGCGGAGCACTGTATTAAGCTTTTCTATTGGAAAAAAAATTCTGTACACTCTAAATTCTGGGTTGTTTTAATATGGATATATGGGCCATGAAATATTTACCCAATGGTAGGTTCATCTATATTTATCTATAATTTGGTTTGAATAAACCCATCATTTTAGTAAAGAGTTTACTTTTTTGTAAATTTAGTTTTAATCTTCAAACTAAGCAAACATTAATATTTATTTATTAATGTATATTAAAATATATATTTTTCCAAACATATTTTTTAGAGGTTTGCTTTATAATTTACATGATGTTTATTATTTTATTATTTGATAAAATTATCATGTTTGGAACATAAAAACTCTGAATAAATGTCTAAAAACTCTTAGATATTTTATTAATCTTCTTAAGTTTTTGTCTGCAGGTCATTACAGCTCCAGATGAGCAGAATCATATGTACAGTGAACAGAGGGATGAATACCTGGAGCAAGTGTGTGATATGGCTCTACGTAAAATTTCCATCATCAGCATCTTTGGTCCCCTAACAAACAGTACCATGAAGATCGAACACTACCAGACAGGTTGGTGCTACTTTAAATGTTTGATTTCAAAATATTCTATGAGAATGCTTTCACTGAGATGAACACTATTAAATACTATACAGAACAGGACAAGCCTCTGCGGGGTCTGCCAGACAGTGATCTTATCAACCAGGACCTCATCACAGCATTTAGGAAGCAATTCGGGATGATTGATAATGATTTCAACATGGTGCTGACAGACTTTGACATGAAAGTGAAGGTGAGCTCTAAAAAAACTACTTTTTGTGTATATGAGGTGTAATTTCTAACTTCAAGGGATACACTGCAAAAAATTATATATTATTTAATGATACTTGAACTCATTTTAGGAAGTTAATCAGGTTTCAGCCTACATTTTTTAATTAATGCACATTTTAAATTGATGTTTTAAGTCTGTTTAACTGTAAGTTTGAACTGAGGTTTAAAATTTATTTGATTCATTTAAAAAATTGAAAGCAGTAGTCATTTTTACAGTGTGGTTTGCTTAAATATAAAAATTTACTAATTAGTATTTACTTAAGTGGTCCCAAAATCCCAAAAGATATTTTGAATATTGTTGTAAAAACAAATACTATAGAAGTCAACGATGATTTGGTTTCCAACATTCTTCAAAATATCTAACTTCTTGTTTAACTTAAGAATGAAATCAAGCTTGTTTTGTTTTGGGTGAACTGTCCCTTTAAAATGACCACGCTAAATAAAACTATTCTTGTTTCCACAGCAACGGTATGAAGTGCCGATTGTTATGAAAGCAATGTTTGACTACATTGACACGCTGTCAACGCGCATTAAAGAGATAGAGCAGCAGAGGAAACTTGGAGCTATGTGCAAGAAAGAAGATAAATCAAGATCGCTAGAGGACTTCCTGT